AAAAGAACTGAAAGGGTCTGAATTTTAACATGGATAGTATTTCCTAAATCATAGTATGACTTTTATGACGTGATGAGCAATCCAAATTCTAATATGGATAGTATTCCAAATAATGACATGACCAGAAATGTGTTTACAAATTGTAATTTTCAGAAATTGAAATGTACACTAATTAAACTTGAATGATAGTTCTGCTTTTAGAAAGAAAAAAAAGAATATGAATTTTTTAATTACCAAACCATAAAATGGAAAAATGTAATTGAGGTATTTTTTAAAAATCATTTTAAAGAAAGATTTTATTTATTTTAACTCTCATTAATTATTCATTATTTAACTTTAATGAGATCCGTTCGTTTGATGCTTGATTCAACACGATTTCACATCAGGTTCTCAATTTATTACCTCTGTGACGAGTCTCACTGTTTTGTTTTATCCAGCTAATTTTTTTAGCAGTAAATTATGTATGTTACTATATCCACATTCAGATATAGATATAAAATATGAACAATAACAATAATTCACCTATTTAGTTGAATTTTGGATATTTGATTCCGGTTTCGTCACAAAGCCGTGATATCGCTTCTTTTATATTCACTGTTGTAGACTTACCAGTTGGCATCTGTGCCTGATTTTATTGATACTGCATGTTTTAAAGGTGAAGTCTCGAGTTCAAATCCGGGTTCAAGTCAGTATAAAGTCCCTGAGTCCACCCAGCTCTAAAAAGTACCTAACTCAAGTTAGTGAAAGTAAAGTCGGCTGGGGATGGTGCTAACCACACTATCCCTTCATAAATATGCTGAGGTCACAGAAACAGGTGAACTCTACTTCGCTTGCCCTATGACAGTCAGGTTCGAAAAGGGAAATTTAATTTTTATGGTTCAACGTTCGGACAAAGGACGATTTATCTCAAAAATAAACTATCAAAGACAAAATCGATGTATGGCGTCGAGGCGAAAAGGGCCTGAATAAGAGTAGGTTCAGAATTACAGAGCAGTAGGCCCAGAATATCAGCCGACAGAAAAATAGAATACCGACCGGGCCAGAATATCAGCCATCAGCTGTGTGCGCTGGTGTTACCAGACCTATACAGTGAGACCTACGGCGAACCCCCATCAACAACTCACACCCACAACCACAAAACTGGTGGTACCACATCTGTACAAGGAGATTGACGACCAACCCCAATCAACAACACACCAACAACAACAAAACGGGTGGTACCAGACCTATACAGTGAGGCTGACGGCGAACCCCAATCAACAACACACCAACAACAACATAAAGCTGGTGGTACTACATCTGTACAACACAATCGACAGCCAATCCCATTCAACAACACACCAACAACAACAGGAAATCTGGTGGTACCAAATCTGTACAACAACATCGACAGCCAATCCCATTCAACAACACGCCACCAACAACAAGAAAACTGTTAAACTGTTGGTACCACATCTGTACAACGACATTGACGGCGAACCCCAATCAACAACTCACATCCAACAACAAGAAACCTGGTAGTACCAAATCTGCACAACGACATTGACGGCGAACCCCAATCAACAACTCACATCCAACAACAAGAAACCTGGTAGTACCAAATCTGTACAACAACATTGACGGCGAACCCCAATCAACAACTCACAAACAACAACAATAAAACTGGTGGTACTAAATGTGAAACAACGAGATTGACGGCGAACACCCACTCCACAACTCACCAACAACAACAATAACCTTTCCAGACACAAACACCGTCGTACAAATCAACCCGGACTAAGTAGACAGCAGGATATCTTCCCAGGATATCATCCCTGCCATTTTCCCTCTGTAATTCACCTCTCCACTTGCGTACATACAAACATACAAAAAAACAAAACAAGCACCAATCAATTTCTCCGCTTGCCCTTTACAACCAACAGAGACGCCAGAACACAAGGGGAAGACAACTAAATTTAAGGGAAACAACTCGTGTTCTATCTAACCATTCTTTTGTTCCTGATTTAAATTTAGAGTCACTGCAAAAATAAATTAGCCGAATGAAAATTTGATTGGGACATTTTTTAAAAGTTGCAGCTTAGAAAGAAAATATTCAAATTTTAATAAGGGAGAATGGGCTTATTGTAATAAAATTAAATGTCATGTTGACCTCCATGTCAACAAGAACCCAACTCGTGACCTCCATTTTTTCTAGACCGTTGACAAAAGCCCTGTAGAGATGTGACATTAGGCTGAAGTCATTCAAACAAAAGCCGTCGTTTGGTGCGTGTGTGTGTGAGTACGTGTGTGTGTGTGTGTGTGCGCGCGTGTGTTCTCTTTCGGTTCAGACTTGGCTCGTCCAGTTAATATTATGTTTAACTTAAGAACTTAATACAGTTATAACACACACAGTTTTATATATATATATATATATATATATATATATATATATATATATATATATATATATATATATATATATATATATATTCGCGCACACTTAATTTACCATTTTATTTATTTTTTGACGAAGCCCTAATGTTTTATTACATTCATACAACTTTTTATAAAATTTAACTTATGTTTTTTTAAAATTCCCATGGGAAAAACTACGTTTAGCGCCCCATAAACCACCGAAGGACTTGATTTAAAGAGATAACTGGATCTAATGAATAGAATACTTCACGCGGCGATTTCTTAACATGCCCAGCGAGTTCGATTTTCCTTAATGAGCATTATTATCTCCCTTTGTTAAGACGCGAGCCAAGGGAGAAAACTGTTCGCTTGAACAAGGTAAAATGTCTTGGGGTTGAGTTTTAATGACTGTGGGAAACGCGCTGTGTTGGAAACGTGGTTAAAGCAGAGGAAATTGGAAGAAATACGGCAGTAGTTTGAACTAGAAGTTCTGGAACTTCGCAGCGTAAACTTTTAGATATTGGCATTGTTAATAAAGATGTTTCCGTATAGATAACACATGTGTGGTTGTCAATATAGAACAGGAACTACGACGTATAATTTACACTGTCTAATTTAAGTTTTGCTGATTTTTATAAGTGTAGTGACAACGGAATATTTATTTTCATCGTGTTTCAGAATTAGTTCACACTGAATTATCTTTGACAAGGGTTGCAGAGGGGAAGGCGATTGGGGCGGCCATCCTGGGTGTGAAACCTTGGGGGAGGGGATAAACGGGGTAGAAAAAAACAACAATAAAAAGCTCATTCTGGGGTGCAGTAGTGTAGTATATACGTTCTGTACGGACCTTAGTTATTTAACAGCTTTCTACATCTAAATAAAATAAGAAAGTGACTAGTGAAAAGCGCGTTGACCTCTCCAATTTGGGATGAGGGGGCGCTTTTACACCAAAGTGAATAACTACATATACATGGGGGGGGGGGGGGGGGGCACTTTTTTAATTGACGGGAATAACTACATATAAATAGGGGAGGGGGCGCTTTTTACCGACGTGAATAACTACATATAAATGGGGAAGGGGGGGGGGGGGGGTTACAAATTGATAGTTCGCTCTTAGCGCCTCTGAAGGTCTGCGTGGGGCCGGTGGGTAAAACACATTAAAAAAAACCTTTTTATAAAACGCCCTCTCGAGGAAAATGAGAACCAGATAAACACAAGTATTTTTGACGCTCAGTAGCTCTCGTGAAGAACTAAAATCCCTGCCACCAACATGAACCAGGATTAAGATCTTTCAAACTATATATATTTGAGCTTTATGCCAACCAAGAGGTCCATTTTTCAACAAATGCCACCAAAATGTCCCTCCACAAATGTCCTACCCAAAAAGTCGGACTCTCGACGCTTCCAAAAACAACTTTTGTTCAAGAAACGCACCAAAAGCCAGTTTTTCCACCCAATCCCACCAAAAATGCTGTCAGTTACCAAAATGCCACCCAAAAATTCAGTCCCTCCCCAAATCCCACTTAAAACGTCATCACTAAAACCACGTCAAACCATTCCTCACACAAACCCTTTCGACGGAAACGATTTCAATACAGCTAATCAGCCTTTTCTTCCGTAAACCTGGGCGTGTACTAAAGGTATACTTTACCAATTTTTTGTCGAGCAAGCGAATTTCGTGCATTACACAACTTAACAGCATGCCTAAAGCGATTGAGATAAACTAGCTTTAAAAAGGTTTTTGTCGGTATCTGTATTAATGTTGTCTTTGTTTCGGTTTTATCGAAGTTAAATACTACAGTCATGGAACTTGATACCAAATGCAGACAGTCTGTAAGACATAAATAAGGCAGACATAAATTCAGGCAGGCAGACATAAATGCAGGCAGACAAAAGGGCAGGTAGACAGCAGGGAAGGCAGACATAAGGCAGGTAGGCAGAAGGGCAGGCAGACATAAGGGCAGACAGACCTAAATGCAGGCAGATAGGAGCGATAGAAGTGTTGGAGACAATCCTGCTATTCCCGACACACCGGTAGTCGAATACACACACACACACAGACACTCTTGCAAATATACACACGTGAAAACACACACACTAAAATAATCATTCAGACACATGCACACAAAAAAACTCACACGCACAGCACGCGAACACACTCACAAACACGCAAACAAGGTGCCCACAAGGAATGTAAACCGCACGCGCTAGACTAAAGTCGCGCGATAACAATACGCTCAGGGTTTAAAAATAACCCTGTGACGTCACGGCACGGCCTGGCTTATCTCCGTGTAAAGAAGAGCTACTTAAATAATTTGTGCTGTTTTCAGAAAGAAAGAAAGAAAGAAAAAACAACCAGCCCAATGGCTATTAAATATTCAAACGTAAGTGACGTCAAAGGTTCGGTGTTAGAGGGTAAATCTCACTGAGACTATTTTTAGGTGTAACACTTCAAATACCCGTTAGCCAAGCATCAGCTGACTTCCGGTTTGAGCCGGTGCTGTTTGGGGAAAAAAAGGAATGTTGGGGGAAAAGGGTAAAAGATATATCCCGATACTTTAAGTGCTGCAAGTATGAAAGGGATTGAAACACTGATGCTGGCTTACCCAAACTGCTTAGCTAGATACTTTTTCACCATGGAATCTGGGTATCGTTTAGACATTTTTTCCCGGGGAAGGGGGGGGGGGGGGGGCACTTGAAACTTCCGGAAAGATAGAAGCTAACTCCACCCCCCCCCCCACCATCCCCGAGAAATGCCTGAAAGAAACAATAACTGGTATTGATCTATGGACTTTAGGGCAAAAAGAATCGTTTTTCACCTATGATCAATGTCAAAATGGATTACTTTCTTCTTCTTCTTCTTCTTCGTTCTTAATTATTAGTGTTGAGGAGATCGAGATTTATCTGCCAGTGGGTTTGAACTCGAGACTTTGTTCGAATTTATCAACCATGAGCGTTTTTGCCGACTCGACCACGCCTCCAACACAATTAAGCGTTACGTGTCAAACTGGTTTTGCGCCATTGAGGCCATTGACTCCGATTTCAGCCTGCTTTTCTTTTTGGATTTGCTTCCATAGCCTTTGTCCAACCAAGAACAAACTACAAGGCAGCAGTTGTTTAATTTTGGAGTTGTCTCTCCTAGAAGAGTGGCTGTCCCCAGCTAACGAGCCTCATCTGCCCGAGGGTTCGAACTCGAGACTTTTCGGTTTAGCAACCATGAGCTTTACCGACTCGACCACGCCGACCCCCTAGGATTACTTTCAAGAGCAAACACCGTAGCTATTTTAGAATAATGAAGGCTTAACTACACCAACAAGGTTATAGGTGTGGGCAAGTGAAACTGTTGGGTTGGAGTCACACACATAAGACTGGAGTCACCCACTAAGGACTGGAGTCCACCCACATAGGACTGGAGTCACCCACTAAGGACTGGAGTCACACAAAAAGACTAGAGTCACATACATAGGAATGAAGTCACAAAGAACTGGAGTCAGACACACATGACTGGAGTTACGCACTGAGAAATGAAGTCACAGGACTGAAGTCCCAATATATACTACACAGGGAGGCAGCTAGAAATTTTAAAACATGAATCATTCATGCATCAGCAATTTAGCTACTACATGTCTTTTTTTCTAAAGCTATTGTGCAATTTCACACAACTTCGGGTATCAACCCCCCCTCCCCTCCATTCCCCGTCCTCAACACACACCTGAAACAGCATTAGGAATTCTGCTCTCATGACAAAAGCTTATAGACTTGTTTTTTTTCCCAAACCATATCGAGCTGCGTTAATGTATTCTTTCAAAATCATCTTATCTTTTCCCGTTCGTGCCCAAGACACATGGGGCAGATGAAGTAGAGTTCATCTGCTTTATCTGATTTTTTTAATACTAGCATTATATTTTCTTCTTGGCGCTGTCATACCACTATTAGAACTCTGGGGATGAGTAATAATCGAACCCTCAGGCTAGAAGATCTAATCGGTGGGTAACCATACCAACTCCATCCCCACCTCTCCACTACTACCTCAATAAACAGCCATCACACGATAAGGCACACATCGGGTACCTCATACCTATCGAGAAAAACCACAGCACGGTAATAGCATACACACACGCGCACATGCAGGCACACACACACGCACACACATATAAACATGCGCACACGCACGCGCACACACATGGAAAACAGATGCTAGTGTAAATAAAAAACTGAAAAATAAGCTCTTTAACTCAAAATCAGGATACATTCATCACTCTCTCTCTCTCTCTCTCTCTCTCTCTCTCTCTCACACACACACACACACACACACACATATACATCAACAGGGGCTAGTGCAAAAAAACTGACAAACATGCTCTTCAGCTCAAAGTCAGAATATCTGCATTACTGACACACAAACACACATATATACAACATGGCTTAGTGCAAAAAACAAAACAAAAAACTGACAAACACGCTCTTTAACTCAAATTCAGCACACCTTTCTCACTGTCACACACATATAACGGGCTAGTGTGGGAAACTGACAAACTCTTCAGCTCAAAGTCAGCATACCATCGCCAAATCAGCAATGCACACACAAAAAATATTTCAACCTTAAAGTACGAACAGAGAGAAAAAGCAGAGAGAGAGAAAGAGTAATAAAAAAAGGAAAAAAAAAATTCAACCGTGTTCAGAATGAAACAAGGGGGGGGGGGGGTTAAAGCACGTGTAGACAGTTACCCGGGCTTGAGCTCACCTGTGAGTCGCGTCAGAGCTCACGTGCCAAGACGCAACACACAGTGGTAACGACCTCGTGGCTAAATATAGAACACGCGCTGATGTACCGGCAGTTAAGAAAACATATCTATGAAAACTCCCATGCATCATAAAGTTTTTCTTTTGCTCTAAATAAATGTTTAGTCATTTAAAATATAAAAAGAAAAGCTCTCTTGTGCTGGGTGGCGGAAATTTTATTGGCATTACAAATTCGGTCATGCGCAGAATGGTTTAAAGTTTTAAACTTAGGCCTATATCGTTCGATCTCGAACTTCATAAAAAAATTAGGTGCATCTTCGTTTTGTTTATCTTTTTGAGCTGCCTATATCTTAACACACGTAAAAGATGAGGAATATCTCTCAGCTGAAAAAAAAAGTTAACACAATTTCGGTCTTTATCTTATGGTGTGTCAAAGTATCCGAAGTTACACAATCTATATTTAGCTTCCAACACTGTAATGTGTAACTCGCTGGTGCTCTTGTATACCTCGCGTTTTCCTGTGGAACTTTGTCGATAAGTACGCATCACATGGAATACGTCATTGACAAACTAGTACGTCAAAGGTGGCGACATAATCTTAACTTTTATGAATTCTAAACTTTAATTTTAATCATTGGATTGTTTGTTTTCCAAAAACTTTACTTAAAACTACCCTAAAAACCGTAAAATAAAACTTTACCCAAACGCGTGTACTTAAAATAACACCAAAAATGTAAACAACACATTAGAAATAGTCCCCTTTTATTGTTAAACAAATCTTTGTTGCACTAATCTTTAACGGCATATCCATAAAAAAAATACCTAAACACCTCCTTCTTAAACACCAGAACACCTATAACGAAACCTCTACACACTAACACTACCGTATCATCAACACATATACAGACACCTAGGACCCTCTACACCATCAGCCAACCACCAACCCACCCATATACTTTCAAGCCAAATATTAAAACGGAATATAAAATCAACACATATATTGACACTTTCACCCCCCCCCCCCCCCCACACCCTTGTATTCAAGCCAAAAAGTAAAACTACATATACTGACATCTAACAGCTACCCCCCCTATACGTTCAAGCCAAATATTAAAACTAGATATACTGACATGTAACAGCTCTCTCTCCCCCCCCCCCCCCCTTATTCAAGCCAAATATTAAAACCACATACACTGACATCTAACAGCTCACCCACCCCCACCCCCTATTCAAGCCAAA